CCACAAGTTTTTGATAGTTTTTGTGGTCATGAGGACCGCTGTAAAGCCATGTAAAGCCTTTAGTGCTGAGTGTGAGGTGGGGTGGAAACCTTTGAGGTTTATCCGATGTGCATCAGGTCCCACAGAGACCGCCGGTTGGACAGAAACGGGCGTTTTCTGCGGGCTTCGACGTCCGCCGGGTTCTGCGGCCAGGTGAAGTACAGCCTTCCGCCCGAGCACGGCTTCGACGAGAACGCCCTGCGGACGGCCCTCATCGAGGTGAAGGTGACACCGCGATGCGTGTGAAAAGGAGTGTCAAGGTGAGCCAGCAGCCGAAGAGAAGAACATGGACGGTCGCAGTTCTCCTTGTAGTAGCCTGTTTGGGATCTCTTCTTTAGACTAGTCACCAACACTAGTCACGAACACTAGATGGGACAAAGGGTGAAGCGAAGGGCATCACCCGAAACGAGGTCACACGGCCGCTTCGCTTCGGCCCCCCCCGCGAGCCGGGCGAACCGTCGCAGATGGTTCGGGCTCGCGCGGCGGTCAGGAAGATGTGGACCTGGCAGTGGAGAAGCTCCTGAACAAGCTGGCCAATGCCTCTCAGCCGCACGGCGCGGCACTCTCAGCGCCTCACCCCCCCCCTCTTCCGGGCCAGGAGTGAAGAATGGAGCTGCCCCCATGCAGGTGAGGTTTTGGATCCCCTCCTCCCCCCTAGCTATCCATTAAGGGTGGATGGAGAAGATGTCCAACGCCCTTTGGTGCAAAACATGTAATTAGCACCAGCGCCTTCAAAAGAGCATTGCAGCGAACATGCAGAATTGTTAGGCTTCTATGAGGCTGCTATGGCCCACAGAGATTTGGAGAGGATGCCAAACAAACAAACAAACAAACAAAACAAGCACCCAAAAAGCAAGAACCACAAATAAAGATAAAAAGATCGGTTTCAGACAAAGTGAGGCCACCACAGGATTAGGTGCCTTTTGGTTCAGCTGCACCTTTTTGGCGATGTAGCCTTCACGCTCTCCATCTGCATCATTTTCTGAAGATCTATATATTGCAACAGAAACGGAGCAGAATTTAGGCCCGTACACAAGCAGTGGCCCGTTCCTTCTTGCATTGTTTGTTGACCATTGTTAAGCTCTTGTTAGTTCCTCTTATTCAGCTCTATCACTTCAGTAGCTTAGATTATATATTTGATTGCTTAACTACTTTTTTCTATACTATCAAACGTTGTTGTTATTTTTAAACTTGAGCATCAGAAAGAAAACCGCTTCAATCTTCGTTGCGTTGTCTTTGTCTTTCTTAAGAACATGAAGGAGACCATTACTAAAGAAGCAGTGAGCTAGACCAAGTGCAAGAGGATTGATTACCTTCTATCCAGGCAACAATGAACTTTTTGTTTCCTGTCTCGATCGGTTTTTTCTATTGCTTCAGTACTTCAGTAGGTTGCATATTTCTTGCTTAACCAAACCTTTTTTCTACACTCTCACATGCTCTCACCCTGTGAAAAGGGACACTGCTTCAAAAGGGACACTGCTTCAATCTGCGCAAGGGTTATTCTTGGTCAAGGTGTTTTGTCTTGTTTAGCTCTTTCACAGAAGGTAATGCGCCAGACCAGGTGCAGGAGGATGGATGAACTTCTATCCAGGCAACCAATGACTTCTTTGGGTTTTCTAGTCGTAGTTCAGCGGAATGACGTCTGTGTTATTTTGGGCGGCTTCCTGCCTATGATGCACAGAGCTCTCCAAGTAACATTTGTACTATATACAGTATATAAGTGTAGCTTTTCCCCCTGAGCCTGTTTAGTAGACTAGGAAGAGCTTGCCGTGGAGATAGGGGCATCAAAGAGAGTCATATGAAAGAATAGAAAGAGTCAATCATAAGATGCAACATTTATTGGAGCAATAGTAAGACCTGTTGAGATCAGGGCAAGAATGCTAAGGGAACAGCGTTGAAGCTCAAGTCTTCGTATTTGACAACAATCACTTCAGTCTTTGACCACGTGGTGATGAGAGACTGAAGAGCTTTGACAGAGCGTGAGAACAAATATCCTACAGATGAGAAGGCAGTCGTTGCCATTGGTATGTGCAATACAGATGTTGGCCAGAGAAAGGTAAAGCATGCGCATTTTGCATAGGTCTCAGAGCAGTGTGACATTTCGCATGGTATCTACGGTTGTTTTTGCAAGGGTTTTGAGATAGGCTGCCTTATCCCACGTACACGCAACCTCGAAAGAAAAGAGACCCTTAATCGCTCACTCCTCACCTCATGACCCATCACCCCATTGCAGTAGCCAGAGGGCTTGGGACAAATCAAAGGAAGCCTATAAGCCTCTTAGCCTCTTAGCCCGTCTCTAATGTGCCTCATCACCCGTCATCACCACCCAGCCCACCATCCACAGGTCACCGATCAGCCCAGCGACGCCGCTCACCGCTCTCCCGCGGCGGGTGAGGGCGGAGAAGCCGTGGGAGAAGCCACCGAGGCGGTGAAGGTGCCCCGTCCGGCGACGGGCACGGTGCGACGTGAACCGAACTTCCTTCGGAGGAGGCGGCCTTTTTGGGGGGTTTCTAGACTGGTTTGAGTAAGACATTGAGAGTGGTCTCGAAGTGACACGATTTCTTTTCTAGATTCTGATCAGCCGCCGGTTTGAGGCTGCTCTCGATTTGCCATCTTACTCACTTTTTTGGGTGGCTTGTGACCGATGTGCGGTTTCTGAGAAGTAGAGCGCATGATGGCACAACTCCTCAGCCAGGAATCCAAGCCAGAAGCGAAGCCGCGAGCGCGCGCAGAGAAGCGGCAGGAGAGGAAAGCCAAGGCAGAGCTGCAGTGGGGTGCCTTTTGTGAGGGTTCCTGTTTGATACCCTCCTCAGAACCTCTGGTTTCAACTCCCCGCTCTTTGGCAATCTTTGGCACATGCCTGCCCCGCAGGCCATGTTTGGCGCGCCGCAGGGGCAAGGTATTTTCACGACCGACACACATCATACTTCCTCCTGTTCTCTGGTCCCTTAGTTCCTTCCCGGGAGGCCGACGCCAAGAAGAGGGCCTCTAGAAGCGCCGTGGCGGCGCAGGACGCGGCGGAGCGGTCGGACGAGGCGGGGGTGGGAGGGGGTGGCTGCAAGATGGGGAGCCATAGAGAGGTTGGGGAGCCCTTTTTCGATGCTTTTCGCCTACCCCGTGTGTCCCAGTTCAGGTCTCCAAACACCTCTCGTGGTAGCTGTTTTTTTCGGTGCCCGTCGCCATCCCCGACCTCCACTGATCGATTTCGTGCCCTGATGGCCAAGCTGGGTGTGGCGGCTTTTGTGGCTTGGGGCTGGTGGGTTGCTGTTGGATTTCTATTTCGTACAATTGCCATTGGGCTCGTTTTTAGCTAATTACTCTTTGGATCTTTTTAGTCAGTTACTTTGGGCTGGTTTTAGTCAGTTACTCTTTAACTTTAGTCAGTTAGTTTGGGCTGGTTTGAATCAGTATGTTAATATGTTTTTAGTTTCACGTGCTGTTGTTGGAGTTCCCTTTTTCTAGATTCCGAGGTTGCAACCCAGAGCCCACTTGACACCTGACGGCTGATATTTCGGTGATTGGCAGTCGTTTCTGACAACTGACAGGCGATCAAGCAGCTCTCCAAACAGCTGCTCACCGTGTGATGGAGGCACCTGGGCTGATTGCCAAGTGTTTGGATGCCTTCTTTGATGGGTGTGGTACTTGCTTTCTTGCTTGGTTGGTTGGTGGCTGGCTGGCTGGTTGGTGGGGTGGGCTGCTTGGTGGGTGGGTGGGTGGCTTGGTTGGCTGGTTGGACTCAGACTTCGGGATTGCATCTCCCTCACTGTGGATTGCCACGGCCAACCCTATCGGCTTGACTTGTCCAGACCTACTGGGGAATTCACGAGGTACGAATCGATATGAACATGTTTTTGATGCTTTGTCGAGGCCGGCTGCCCTTCTTCACACGCACTACTAGCGCCTGCGTGCACACATGCAGCATCATGCACAGGCAGCCCATTCCAGCACACACACACACACAAGTGCGTCTCTTTCCAAGCCAGGCTTCGACTTCAGTTCGCGGCACCTGAGAGTCCACTCAGCCGGATGGAACCGGCAAGGGCGCCTGTGGTGGCTGCAGGAACAAAAACCCATGGCGCAGTAGGTTTCATGTCTGTGGTGGAACATGGAAGAACATGGAAGAACAGCATGCAATAAAGCTGAGTAGACCCGAGGCGCTCGGGAGAGGAACCAAGTGCTCGACATTGGGAGGTTGTGAGTCGAAGGAGTGTCCTTTTCTTCGGCCAGTCCGTGAGGGGCCGAAGAAATCGACAGCAGCAAACTCACGGGGTAGTTGCAGGGTTTTGGGTTTTTCAGGGTGGTCCAGATCTTTCCTTCCACCATTGGGCAGTAGAGGTCTTGGCTCCGATTTTCGGTTCGCGATGTCTCACCGATTTGCGATGTACAGTGTACAGTGATTTCAGCTTTCCTGGCGCCCTGACTGTCAACCCCTTCGCCTCTCAGCTCGATGAGTGACGCCGAAGGAAAAGGGCCATGAGCTTGGCGTCCAAGGGTCCTCGGGCGAAGAGGTGCGTGGAACCACCCGGCGCAACCGATCTCCCCCCGAACAAGAGGCCCCAAGTAGACCAATGAAGCGCCGCTGGGATGCAGGTGTCCACACTGCCATTCGTGTGCGAACGTGGGATGTTCTTGGTGTATAGTTGCTACAGAGATCTATATACTACACGTACTACAGGCGTCTTCTAAGAATCCTGGGCACTTACTTTTGGGGTTTTGCACTTGCTTCCCACTTGCAGCCACGCCTGCTAGCCCGTAGACGACACAGATGGAGCTTGAGCAGGAGCTGAATAGTTTGCCGACACTAACACTGGCTCTATGTATATACGTGGGTGCACTCAACATTATGAAAGGCAACTGACCAACACCCCGCATAAGCTTTACACCGCCCACCTCGTTTCTTTTTTTTGAGGGGGGGGGTTTGGGTGTCACTGACTGCCCCCATCTATTTCCGCCTTCGGTAGGCTGGGCGCCTGGCGCTGCAGCAGGTGGCGGAACTGCATGACTTCGGGGCGATGCTCTTGGAGCTCCTGATGCCATCCTCCGAGGCACCCGACATGGCGTCCGACGATGGCGGCTACGCCCCTTCCGCGCGCGACCGCGTGGTCTGGGTCTGGGTATTTCATGGGATGCGGAGTGGAAGGGGAGGGGGTCGGTGATGTGGACCCATCAGGGAGGCGGAAGGATGGGAGGTCTGTGGACCCTGGTGGACCCTTGTGCAAGGCCACCCAGGCAGCTGTGGAGGCTGCCCAGAAGAACACCTTGGAGTCGGTGAGGCTGGGCAACAGAAATGGTGTAGGGTTTGCGTCCGTACAAAACGGGCACACGGATACACTGACATGGAAGTGGAACAGCTGCTGTCGGGAAAGGAAAGTCGTTTTGACACGTCCATTTTATCATTTTCCACTTGCATGATAGTGAGTCAGAGGCTACATCACAACATGATCAAAACTGGTCGTTCTGCATGTTGGCCCTGCCTGCTTTGGTAGTTGGTTGCGGATATGGCCCCCAATAACATGGAAGCCGACTTCTCAGGATGTCACATTCCAATCGCGCCTGGATCATTGGTACAGTATGGGACAGTATGACTATGACCGTGGTAACCTGAAGCCGATACAGCAACCTCATTGAAGCAGATTTTGCTCCATCGGAGTGGTTAGACTTTGGTGCCACCTAAACTTGGCATATCCGGTGACCCCAGATCCGATACAACTTCCGTCAACACGTCCCGAAATCCACCGTCGCTTCCTCAGGAACCTCATGTAGCTCCCTGAAAATCGTCGTGGAAGTTGAGTTCACAACCCTGTTAGGCTTGGTATTCGGATTTCATGGTCATCCGGTATCCGGAACCATGCCATCCACGGTTGGATTGAGAGCAGATGGAGCTGGTTGATATGGACTCCCATTCTGAAGGACATCTTGGAGTGCCAGTGCCATCTATACTCCGAAAACCACTGTAACCATGGATGTTTTCCAGGCCCTCCGATCTCCTTCGATCCGAGCCCTTGGCTCTAGGCCCTCCGAGCTCTTCGAGCGCCTGGGCTCCCGAACCTTGGACAAGTCGGCGCAGTGGCCCGCGGCCGCGGCGCACGACCTGGGCGTGAGCGCCTTGCAGCGGCTTGGACGGTCGCAACGTGGGCGGGGGGATGTGGGGACGTGGGGCCCCAGAAGTGCGCGAGAGTAGCTCTTAACATGTTCAGTTGAGTTGGGATTTTCTGTGATTTTCGGACATACATCCACCAGTTTCTTTCAGCTTCCCCACGATGCTCAAATGCCTCCTTTCCACCGCCGTATGGACCCAGGTGTGTCTTGGCAGAGGCCGAGGGCACTGCACCGCCTCCCGGGATGACCCAAGTGGCAGGCGGGTCGAGTGGTGGAAGATCTCGGCAGAGCTGGAGGTTTCAAGGTTTCAATGGGAAAAGCCATTCTTTTTGTTGGAATCCGGTGAGAACAAACCGTGCTTTTATTGGAAGAGGTCGAGCAAACCGGTGACACGGCGCGCGTGCCCCAGGAGTTTTCGACGCCGAAAGCTCGGACCCGAAGGACGGGAGGTGTGAGGTGTGAACCAGATTGACCAGGTTTCATGCCGATGCCCTCGTCATCCAGAAGTGGAATCTAAATGGGAAGAACTCACAGAACACTCCAGCCATGGGAGGTTTCTCAGCCGGTGCAGCCACAAACTTCCGCCGAAGTTTCTTTCTCACTGGGCCTCCGACGGCCCCTTTTTTGGGCACCTCTGGCGAGTCATTCGAGATGATGCCCTCGAAGCACGGGCAGCAGACAGGTGAAGAACTACTGAACACGTTGGGGCGAGCTGTGGCCGCAGTCCTCCACATCAGTGTGTGTGCAACCCAATGGCGGCGTAGGTGATCCATTGGTAGTGCTGGAGGTTGAGCATTTCAAGAACCCACAGGAGTTGTCACATGTTTTGAAGGCCACCCAAAGCTGCACAGACACATGATATACCAGAAGCATCTACAAAAAAATATATATGTATATATATATATACCAGGGCCCCCTAAGGGGTGTCTAATTATAGCTCCTTAGAGGTTAAGGGGTATCCACTAACCACTCCTTAGGGAGCCCTGGTATACTTTACTTTAGGCCTGGACCTTTGAACCAAAGGCCGCCACGGGTGACCCCGTGACCGGACGACGGAGGATGTCTTTGGTCGTCGCGACGATCGGCGCAGGGATGCTTTTGCACCAATGCCAGCGCAGCCGGCACGTGGATGGATACAGCTCCATGTCCAGCGTCGAGGTGGCCTTTGAGTGCGTCTACTCCTCTCAAGTCGAGGCCCAGACCGAACGTGGTTTGAAGGCCGTGAGGGCTGGCAACGCTCTTTTTTATCTCCTCTTTTCGGAAGGTGCGAATGAGGTTGAGGGATCTGGAATCAAGGGTTCACAAAGAGTCAGAGGTTGCATGCAGGAGAGGCAACCTTTTACGTGTGTCTTGGACCGGTAGTGGCTTTGGCGTGCCTGCTTTTTTTTTTAAAACCACCCTCCAAACACAATCACCCTCCAAAGCACTCACCCTTCCTGTCTTGATCCCCATCTGTGAACAATCACCCTCCAGCACTGCCCTTCTCCTTTCCAGCACGGTGCCGCATCGCCTCACAGTAGACGAGTGAGAGCAGAGGGGTGGGAGAACATGACGCCCGAGATCCGTTGAGGCAGTTTCAAATGCCATCGTATTGAAACGCTGACACCCTCAAAACAATCGAACCTTCACGAAACTTTTGCCCCATCAGCAGCTTTGGGATCGTTTCTAGCTGAAGACAGAGATCAAAACACATTGAACGATCAGCAGCCCTTCCTGCCCATGGAATTGTGGCCGCCAGCGGTCCTTTCCAAGGTACTTCTCTTCCCTGGATCCTCCCCCCGGACTCGACGTTGACCTGGACCCGAGTCCCCTGAAGAACTTGTTTGGCCTCCCGAGTCGGATGGGGCTCGGCAGGTGCAGTCCTTGGGCTACGAGAAGCGCTTCTGGCGCTTTCCCAAGGATTCCAGAGGTCCCTGGCCCGTGGGGCGGCAGCATCAGGTGGAGCCTTGGCGGCCAGCATCTCCGCTCTCCGCTCTCCGCGTTGGCCGCGTGGTCCCTGGAGAGTGCGGTAGGTGCGGTGGGTGAATTGTTTCATTGGTCCCCCATGGTTTTTGGGGGCTTCCGCAGGGAGGTTTTGGAGTGAAGACGATTCCTAGAAATTCGAAGCACCATTGATGTGAAGTTGTGTCAAGCAAGCATTGTTTTGCCAAGTTCTTCGACTACCAGGTCCACCTTTGCTTTGAATGGTCTGGGGAGACGCATCAAAAAAGAAATATAAATGCATCAAAAAAAAATATAAATGCATCAAGAAAAAAATAAAAATGCATCAATAAAAAAATACAGAAAAGAAACAAAGAAAGGCAAGAAGGCAAGGAAGGAAGGAAGGAAGGAAGGAAGGAAGGAAGGAAGGAAGGAAGGTACGAAGCCAGGACGGAAGGAAGGAAGGAAGGAAGGAAGGAAGCAAGGAAGCAAGGAAGCAAGGAAGGATGGATGGAAGGAAGAAAGGCAGCAGGGCAGGAAGGAAGGTTCGCTTTCGGTGGCTCTTGGGTTTTGGTGGCTTTTGCCTTTGGTTTTCGATGGCTTTTGTAGGTGGCCCGCTTGCGGAGCTGTGCTGCCTGCAATGGCAAGTGTTGTCATGTATTCTATGTTAATGCATTTTTTTGATGCATCTATGTATTCTATGTTAATGCATTTTTTGATGCATCTCCCGAAAAACACACACAACAACAAGGACCACTTTTGAACTCCTGTTCTATCCCCCATTTGGCCAGCTACTCAGCGAGCCAGCTTACGGACCTGTGCTGCCTGCAGTGGCCAGGAAAGCTGCAAGTTGACTCACCCTTTGTTGCGCCACCCGAGGGTAAAATTTGGAGAAGAATGTTGCCATTTCAACTTGACTCACCCTTTGGCGCACAGGGTAAAATTATGAGAAGGAAGTGGTCACTCCAACTTGACTCATCCTTTTGTGGCCAATGCAGGGGTAAAATTTAGAGAGGGAAGCGGCCATGCCGAGTTGACCCACCCTTTTGTGGGCCACGCAGGGGTAAAATTGAGAGAAGGATGTTGCCATTTCAACTTGACTCACCCTTTTGTGGGCCATGC